CTAACAGCGTCAAGTCCGATTTCTTCCGCGAAAAATTTAAGTCCGTTTCCTTCCGCGAAAAATGTCAGTTTTCTTCCGCGAAAAAAAATGTTTGTTTTCTTCCGCGGAAAAAAATATATCCGTTTTCTTCCGCGATAAAATCTGTCGCCATGAAGGGGAATGAATCGTCTCATATTACAGTAATTTCTTTACAGCAAGCTGGACTGTTTTCGACGAATTCTGAAAGGCGAAGCAGACCAACCTATGGCCAGGGCTGACAGCTTTCCCGTAGCAGCATTTCTACCGTGCTTTAACCATTAGATGATAAATAAAACGAATATGAATAATGAAATGGAACCGTACACTATCATAAACGAATGAATATTTGATTACAGTAAGGGTCGATAATGATGAATGTAGGATTTCCTGCACTACTTTCTTGTTCATTGCACTGTATAAAACATTATACTGTAGATATGATAAGCTAATAATGTAACAACATAAAATGTACCTGTACCTCTGTACAGAAAATGCATTAGCTGTATAACTTAAGAAAATGCAACAATGAACCAGTAAACTCTATTCAACTAAAAAGTATACGACTATTTATAGTGAGTGTGTTGCAGGGCTGAATGTGTAAAGACATTTTAAGGGACTGTGGCTCTGCCTTTGGTGATGTCCAGCTGGAAGACCCAGCTGAAGTGACATGGGACAAAATTGCCACCGTTATGACGTTCGGTTGTCCCACATCATTTCATATCATACCAGGATGGTTTCAGAAATTTTCATGTTGAATTTATTTTAACAGGGGAAAATATTTTAATATTGCTCTAAATACTCTCATTTGCATCAAACCACCGGTAGTCTTATAAAATAACAAAGATGCAGCATACAGATTATTTTTTTATATCTAGGTGACGTCACCATCCGTCGGTCGTCTTTTGTTTCCGTTTAGCAGACGAATTTCCGTTGAATTCCAACCCTGACTATAGCTTGCTCGCATTTTTTGTCAAAAATGCACGCACCTCTACTTGGTGTTTCGCCAATGGATAGGCCATTAGGAGTGATGTTTAACAATGGTGATGCGAATGATCTGTGAGGCCTACGTTACTAATATCGCCGTGATCCGAGGCCCCAGCCATATCAACTCCGAAACACTATTCGAAAACATTATGAAGCTTCATCTTTTCCGAGCTTTAAAAACAGCAAGTATCAACGTTTCCGGATCCGTTCATAGCGAACGTTTTACTTTCATTACTTTAGCGACGTCTTCCACACACACACAGAGATATGTATGTTCACACACATACACACACACACACACACACACACACACACACACACACACACACACACACACACACACATATATATATATATATATATATATATATATATATATATATATATATATATGAATATGTGTACTCGCTAAAAAAAGGCTTTACTCTTTTTAATTTAACAATATGTATGTGCATCTGTGCGTGTGTACACATAATTTCAACTTTTGGAAATCTTCGCCCCCCCCCCCAACCCCCAATGAAATAAATAAATAAAAAGATTTAAAAAACACACATAACTTCAAATCCAAAATTTTCCTTCCATTGCAGCTACAACGTGACCGTCCATTGCGCAGAGGAAACGGAAGCGGAGACAGAATGCGGGTGTGAGAAATGCGAAGAGATTCATGAAACGACAGAAAACACCTTTTTGACCTTTCGAGCGCGACCTGACACGAACTACAGCATTGAGGTCGTCGATTTGGACTCGAACTACAGCGAGAGAGTTTTTAATCGAACGCGTCCCCTAAGTAAGTGTATTTTTTTGCGTTCTTGCTGTATTTTCTTTAGTGTATTTTGTGTTCTTCCTGTATTTCTTAACCGTGTATTTGTATTTCTCGTTTTCTTTTTCTTTTTCTTCCTGTAATTCATCACCGCATTTTGTTTCCTTCCTGTATTTCTTAACCGTATTTTGTTTTGTATTTCTCCAGTTTTTTTTTTCTTCTTCTTCTTCTTTTTCTTTTTCCTTTGTTTTTTTTTTTTTTTCTTCGTGTAATTCATCACCGTATTTTGTTTTCTTCCAGGATTTCTCTGTATTGGTATTTGTTTCCTTACATTTCACTTTATTGTGTTTTTCTCCCTGTAATTTCCGATAATTTTTGAAAGATTTTTTTTTTAAATTACACTAATGTCTTAAGTAGATCATTTGCCATTTTGACTCGAGGAGGAAAAAAAAAGAAAACAAAAACAACGGAGTCGCTAAAAATGTAAAAGAGTAAAAGAAAGAAAATATGATAAAAATAAAATGTATTTCCTAAACACGCGTTTCGAAATTTAGGATTATCAAGACCAAAACATTCAAGACACTGAGGTTGAGCAAGTTTCATAATTTAATTCATAAGACTGATCGTTGTTTTTCCATTATATTCCTACAGTCAAAAGGACAAAGAGTTCGTTCAAACAATATACATGTAATGCCCAATATTCCGTTTAAATTATTGTATTTGACTATTGTATTATTGTATTTGTATCTATATATACCTCTCGAGTTTACAGTTTTTTTTTTTTTTTTAATTCGTATTCATATTTCTTGTATAACGTGATTAAGTTCATTTTGGGAATATGTTATCAAAAAGCTTAAATCATTGTCGGATCTGTCATTTCTTTTGGAAAATGGTTAATGTCAAAGTGGGTAGGGATATGTCACAATTTGAAAATTAACAGTAAAATCTGACTCGTAATTTGAGTATTAGATTCTTTTCAAGGTTACTGTTCATCAATTTGTATTCACTTTTTCATGAACCATTACTTACACCATACCCAGCATACGTGATTGTTTAGATCAAAGTGGGTCGTTTAATCAGTGCCTGGCCAAAGCAAAGGTTTTTAGTGAGATTTCTTATGTTGACGATTTTTCTACTGTGATCACTAGAAGCCTTACTTTATTTTCGACATGATTTCATAGTTGTAACAATGACATAAAAAAAATTAGTATGCAAAATATTAATCCATCCTTCTCTCTATATGTAGTCTCATTTTAAAACTAAAACCTGTTTTTTTTTTATAAAATCACTCAGAATTGATTGTATTGATTTTTTGTATTACACAAGTAACTGCAGGTATATTAAGGCATTAATACATTTTCTTATTGTTTAATAAATTGAATTACATCAGCTTGCAGGCCAGACGACAAGTGATGACACGTGGTATGATAATATTCTTTGTTCACGGCGCTATGGGGGCGGGACCTCCTATATATCGAGATTGGAAGGACTATTACGTGTCTGCTTGAACACCACATATTCTCAAAGTCACACAAACAAGGAAAAAACTCGGTTTTCTTTGTAACTTTAGCTTTAAACGAGTGGAATGATAAGATATAAGTATAAGTAAATATTTCTGAAACCAACTCGATACAGTATAGGCCTACATGTCCATTTTTGTTCTGCTGTTATTATTGTTATTAATATTCTTGCCGAGACCATAAGAACACTCAAGGTTTGGGTGTCCGTGCGCAAATATTATTATTATTTGTCCTTTAAATAACAGCCACATTTTTCGTACAGGCTAAGGGGAAAAAAACAAGAAAAAAACAAAGTATGTTGTCTCTTTGCATAATTGAAAAACATTTTTCGAACACAGGACTTCATAAGATGATTATATGAACATTGATAAACGTCCCTGAGATTGGCCTATGATGTTATTTCCTAAAGGTGAACTTATTAACCTATCGCCTAGTCGGTTGGGACCCATTATCATAGATACAAAAAATAAAAAATAAAAAGGTTTAACATATCATCACTAATATGACAATCATCATTTTTGTCGTTATATTACCATTATTGTTATTAGAAGTAGTTGTTTATATTCTCAACAGTATTTTTACGATCTTTCCAGAAGTGCTTCAGTTACCATCGGTGAACGCAACAGAGAATAAGACGAGCGTGGATCTTCAGTGGGCGATCGACTGTCCTTACACAGTACCTGGCAATTATTCGATATTCTTCAACGGGACCACGATCGAGTAAGCACTAAAACAACTAAGATAAAAATGTCTTTCACTTCGTCCGCTTTACTAACCCGGTCTTTATATGGAGTCACTCTTTTTTTTAATGAGCTGCCACCACTTGCTTCAATCTCTTAGCGTGTTGCTATCCAAGCCCTCCTTTCTTACATCCATTGCTGTTCAATCTCACCATCATCTCTCGGGTCTTCCTCTCCTTCCCAGCATTTCTATATCCAATAGTCTTTTCTCATCACCTCCCCCATCGCTCCACACATGTCCATAGCATCTCAGAACAGAATACTCCCGTCATCCTAGCAATATTGATTCTTTCCCCTCTTTTTAACTCCAAACATCCCTTACTTATGGGTAATTCTCTCCCTTATGGTGTTGCTGCCCATATAGGTCTATAGCCTTTCTCTCTTCATTTCACTGGCATTTTCCTGTTGTCTAAGGCTTATGACACATCTCTACTGCTTGGATTCTTTCAGTTATTTCTTTCCCTTTACTGCTGTCTGGTGATAAGATGGATCCCGGGCATTTAAATACATCTTCCCTCATCCAGTCCAATTCTTTCTCGTTTCTTCTGTTCCTGATCTGTACTTATCATATATTCAGTCTGTTCTTCTTATATCCATTCCTCTGATCTCCAGTTGTTGTTCTTTCTGCTAGTTTTTACTGGAAATCTTCTTTGGGCTCACCTCCCTAAACCACGTGATCGGCATCCATCAAGTCCCACTGTGAGCCCTCTCTCGTAGCTTCTGCCAGCGAATCAAATACTGTTGAAGAGGAAGAGGCTCCTTTCTGTTTTGATATTCCTATACACTTCTTTTATCAATCTTGCCATATTTCTTCGGAACTCTACTCTCTCTCAAACATTTCCACAGCTTCCGTCTCAGTGTCCTGTCATAGGCCTACTCCTATTCTCAAAATACAATGTGAAATTATTTTTGGTTTTCATCTGCCTGCATATGAACACTGGGTTTGTTGGTTCCTTTCCAGACACGAATCCAAACTGACCTCTGCTCTACCAAATTTCCTGTCTCAACCGTGCACCCTCGCACTCTTAAACATACCCTTTCTCCTTGAAGATTAGTACCAACACACTCTTTCCAATCATCTGGTATCTGCTCCTGCTCTTCTGTCTTCCACGTGAATTTCCACAACAAACTCACTTCTGTCTCACCTGACCCAGATCCCTTGTCCTCCTACAACTGCTAGTTCCATAGGTCTCGTAAGACTTGGGTATACAGGTAGTGTTTCCTTAAGCATGATCGGAGAGGGTTTTCATGCAACAGACACTCAAAATACACCTTCGTGTGTCTGTTTCTCACCCATTAGCACCCCACTCTTCCCATCCCTTCATCAGTTTCACGTGATGTATGTTGTTTGATGTCTTGTTCCTCTTTTATGCTGTCCTGTACATTTGCTTCTCTCCATATGATTCCAGATCTTTATATGGATCTCTATATGCCCTTGCCTTGGCCACTGCCTCCTTTGTTAATTTATTTGCTCTTCTGTACTCCGTCATATTCTCTGTTGTTTTGATTGGTTCCCAACGTTTCTTTGTTTCGTTTTTATCTTTTTTCGTGCGTGCGTCTTTAACGTTTTTTTCTCTACCATCATTCTACTCAAGTTGTTCGTAGCTTTCCAGATGTTTCTTCTAGTATTTCCTTGACCATTATTCACAATATAACCGAAAATAACAAAATATACCATATTCATCACGTAAAGTAGAATGACAAGAAAAAATAAAATGCTAGACATCAAAGGTCAAGATACATTCATAATTCATATTCATCAAGCTTTTTACAAAAGAAATTAGTACACCTTCTGCCTATTTCCTGTAAAAGTCGGAAATTCCTTTGCGCACACGGACTAGCCTCCCACATTAAAGAACTTACAGTAAAGGTTGTTACCCGATATTCAGAGTTGGTATAGAGTTGTAGATTGTAGTACCCATAATGTATGGTTAAGTTCATACTGAAATAAAAGATAAAGTGAATATAGAAATTATGCTTTAGGGAAACAATTACCTTTGCCATTGTTAATTGTATGGATTTTGTTTTCATGTTATATCAAAGAAAGATATTTGCGCAAGTTTGTTTGGATGTAGTAGAGGATTGAGATTTGATGTATAGTCAGTAGATGATATCAAAGAAGAAAATATTACAATGAAGAAAAGAATATTTGACACGAAGTGAGAAAAGAAAAGAAGACACGGGAACACGAGGAATCAAGACGCTCTACAGAGCACAAGAAGACAGTCCACAGGTATCTATTCTTCCTATGAATGAATAAATTGTACCACAGAGATAATAATATACCTAATTCCCGAAACATAATAGTCAACGGAACTCATAACACACGCGCCACTCTCTGCATAATAGCAATCCAACATGAACAGAAAACCATTACGAGAGCTAAGAGCCAAAAGCACCGCGCGCACGTCTCTGGCATAACGCGGCAAATGACAATAAGCAAAGGTACCAACAGGGCGGAAGAGAAACTGTATATAATTACTAAAAAAAAAATAGCAGAAAAAAGCAAGTGGCTGCAAACGCTCAAGGCAAAGTCTTGATACGCCCAGATTTAGCAAACCAAGAGGATGATCGACATAATAATGGAAATATGTGACACAAAAGATATAAAAGACACAAGAGTTCAGTAGTATAAGAAGCGATATAAAAAAATACATATTAATCAGTGAAAAGATGTTAGCACTTCTTTTTCCTTAAACTACTGTCTCAACAATATACAAAGTCATTCAAGTAATCTATAAATAATAAAATATGGAATTAGAATAGATAAAATGTCACTAATAATCTATGACTGCATCTTTCCAGGCCGAAAAAAAAATTATAAAAATTGATTGTCACCTATTCAAGTCCGCTCCCAGGCTGTGAACCCTATCATACGTAACTATTCATCAATACAAGGCTACTGAAGTATTAACATTTATAGAGAAATTGCAATACTTAGTCGAGTCATCCCACGAGAGAAAAGCCAAGCGGCGTCTTAACACCCGTCACGAACACACATAGAGGTAGATGCATGCCCTCAAACGCACAGCAGGCGCAACTCTCTGCTCCTTTCTGCTGGTCCTGCTGTCTCTCGCTAGCTGGCGCAGCAGTTCAGATGACTCATGTCTCACCTGCCCTGCGCTTCATTGGTGCAGCCGACATCGGCCGTTGGTCAGTCCTAAATCTCTCCCGTGACTGCTCTGTAATCACTGGGATCTTTATCGACATGCACTGTAACTCTCAGTAACTGGCTCAGTGTCTCCAAATCTCTACTCAGACCTCGCTCGCACTACCCTCATGCGCTAACCGGAGCGGCCGCGCCTCGCTCACCTCCGCTCGCACACGACACACACCGAAGCACGCACTCAGCACAACATTGATTCTCCGATCTGAACACGATGTCACACACACTCCTTGACCTACACACAATCAATAATTCTGCCAGTATGACTACGGTACTCAGCTAATGTGCTCCGCATGTCGACGGTCATCCAAG